GGCAACATGAGGGGAGGGTCGGGTGAGGGGGGATGCGTCGTTCCCTTGTCGCCCACTGATCGCCAATAGGTTATCTCGGGCACGTCCCTCTACAGGATGATTATTCAAAAATACAAAGAAGTCGGGGGACGATGTTCGACTATTCTTAACAATTTACGAGTACTGGTTTGATTCCTTGTTCACCAACAACCCGCTTGTGGGAGGACATGCCCGACGTAACGATAGGGGCACGGTGGCCCACCCCGTCCAGAAACGTGCGGATTCGCTATCGGGGGCCTATCGCCGATCTATCGGCGATGTATCGCCGATTTCAGCTTCATGTTTCCATCCTGGGCTGGCCCTCCCCCCCCCGACGTGGCCCCTCAGGGGTATTGAGCAGCTCAGGGCTACAGTAGGGATGCGCATCAAGAAATTCGAGACGCTTCGCGTACCCCCACAAGCCCACCTGCAGGCATGCATCGCCATTGCCGCGCCCAGCACCCCGCGTGCTGCCCCTCGCACAGGCGCAAGTGCTTGCGGTTTCCGCTATCTCCCGCGGGGTTGCCCCACGCCGCAGTCACAGGACACCACATTGCCAGCCAATTATCCGCCAGTTTGGCGTGCACCTCCGGCGGTTGCTAGCCGCCGATGGCCCCCATTTCTGTGAGCGCCGCGCGGCCCGCCCCGGCTTGTCTCACCTCCCGCCGTTCTCGTGTTGTCTCTCTTTTCTTTTCTCTCGTGTGCAATTTAGGTTCCTGCTTGTTAGCTGTAGTTTTGGACGGCGCGAGGCCCTTTTCCGTTTGCGCTCTCGAACAAAAATCCCCACCAGCCCATCCAGAACCGATGCCCAGGCGAGTTGAGGCGATCAGGGAAGTGCGAGAGCAAAGAGGTGGACGGCCGAACCGTGCGGAGGACGGAGGAGGAGAAGAAGGAGGCTGGATGGATGGATGAGGAAGTGGGGAGAGAATGATGAATCTGATAATGGTGGATGGTGGTGGTGGTAATGATGATGATGGTGGTGGTGATGATGAGGATGATGATGCTGATGATGGTGGTGATGATGGTGATGAGGAGGAGGAGGAGGAGGAGGAGGAAGAGGAGGAAGAGAAGGAGTAGGAGGAAGGAGGAGCAGGAGGAGGAGGGCGAGCAAAAAGGCGAGAGGTTTCTTGGATGCCTCTCGGAGCATCTTGGGATGTCGCTTGGGCGTTTCGTGGTGGCTTCTTGGAACGTCTTGGGGGTCTCTTGGCGGTCCTGGGGAGCTCTTGGGCGTATTGGGTGCCTCGGGGGGGCCTCTTGGAGTGTCTGGGGGGGCATTTTGGGTGCTTCGGGGATCCTCTTGAAGCCTTTTGGGGGCCTCTTGGGGGTCTCTTGGGAGCCTCTTGGAGGCCTCTTGGGGCCGTGTGGGCGCCTCTTGGGGCTCTCTTGGGGTCCTCTCGGGGCGCTGTTGGGGGTTTTAGGGGGCGCTCTTCGGGCCATTTTGGACTTTGGAGGCCATAGATCAAACAAGAGGGGAGTTCCAATTAGCGCCCCCCCCCCTCCGAAGAGGCCAAACTGGGGCCAACACCCTGATACAATAAATCATTTTGGCTTCCTCGCCGAGGCCGTTGTGGACGCCCTGACTGCTCGCGACCGGCCCCGTCCAGGTCCAGGGAAAGGGATAGGGAGGAGGGGTAAACCCCTCCCCGAAGGGGAAGAAGGGGGGTGGAAGAGGAAACTCCCTAAATCACTTCCGCCCAGAGCGCTGGTGGGACTGAGTGCGTTTCGTCTCGGTACCCTGGGTTTCTTTGCTCCGCGGGCTGCGCGGTGGCTTCCAGTGGCCGTTGAAGGAGCCGTTGCGATCAGGGTGCTCTGGGCTCCCCCAATTTGCATCTCGCGCGTGTGGGGTTTAGGGCCAGGTTTCTTGCGAGGGTTTCTTGCGGCCGCGCCCGCACTGTAAGGCCCAGGCAGAGTGCTCTCGTTGATCTCGCGCCCTCGTCCCAGCCCCGTGGCTGCTTCTGCGCCTCCTGGCAGGTCCTGGCCACCAGGCTCCTCCTGCTCCGGCGCCATGAAAACCAGCTGCGTGAGCTGGCTCGCTAACCTTCACTTCACCACAGTCGAGACGCTGAAATGAGGACCTCTTTTGGCTCAGGAGGGGCTCGGGTTTTCGAGCCGTTCCTTCGATTTCTATCGTGGAGCCTGTCTGTGGCCTAGACCCGCCGCGGCCAGAAGAGACCCCTCGCTCCTTCTTATGTTTTCCTTCTGGTAGCACCTCGGCCATATCCCCCCCGTTCCACCCGACCCGATGCTCGTTGCGTCCGCTCTTCTGCTCTTGCCACTGCTGCTGCTGCGGCTCGCCTTGCTCAGGCTCGGGAGGGTGACTCCGTTCAGGGCCGCTCGATCAGCACAAAGCACGCTGCTGGTTTGGCCGATTGGAGGCGTTGAGTGGTCGCGAGCGTGTGGAAGGCATTTAAGGAAGGTTCGGTCTCTGAGAGAACGGGATGGGCCGAGCGGCGGGATTGTTGGCGGAGTTCCATCCCTGCAACGCAGACTCCCGACGTTTGTTCATAACGTCGATCCCCGGAGGTCTCGACCCATTCTCTGGGACCGGCTTCTCGTCCTGAGTCGCTTTTTGACGCTACCGAGGCCTGGCCTGGGGCCCCAGAGGCAGAACGAACGAAGAACAAAGCACCCATACGCAAAACGCGTGTGGGCAAGACAACTGACGAGCGTGCGAGCAATGCCAAACGCGTTAGCTGGCGGACAGGAGGAGCCAAACGCGCGACAAGACAGCGACGACGCGCCAATTGCGCGCCGGGAGGACGAGGGCAGGAGAAAGATGACGACGATGGACCATGGGGAAAACCTCCCGTCGTGATCTTTTTTCGCGGCGCGAGGAGGTTGGGGCAGGGGGCTGCCGCATCCCGTCTTCGCGGCAGTGGCCCCCCCCGGGCCCCCGAGCCCGCGGCGAGGCGCGCGGGCCCCGGCCCGCGGCACGCGGTGGGCCCCCGAGGCCCGGCTCGGCAGCGGCCGCCCGCCTCCGCCGGGGACGCCCGCGGGGGGCAGAAGCGCCTCCTCGGTGCCTTTGAACCGATCCCCACCGTCGATGCTCGTTTCGGGGACCTTCCTGGAGCCCACCTAACGGATCTGTTCGACCCCAGTTCGACTCAAGTTCGACTCAAGTTCGACTCGAGTTCGACTCAGGTTCGACTCAGGTCCGACTCAGGGTCGACCCAACTCGACTGACGTTCGACGCAGCTTCGACGCACGAGTGGAGCGAGTGGCTCCAGGAAGGTCCCCAGAACGAGCATCCAACCCACCCCCATCCCCTTCGAGACCCCCACCAGATTGCCACCCCCGTTGGGGATCCACCCCTCGAGACCCGACGAAAACGACCTACATCCCCGTCTGGGGGGGGTACACCAGAGTACCACCCCCGTTGGGGATACACCCCTCGAGACCCGACGAGGACGACCCACATCCCCGTCTGGGGGGGGTACACCAGATTACCACCCCCGTTGGGGATACACCCCTCGAGAGCCGACGAGAGCGACCTACATCCCCGTCTGGGGGGGGTACATCTGCCAGCGGGGCCCAGGCCACGCCGCTGGGGACGGGGATCGTGGAAGCGATACTCCGATTCGTCCCAGACATGCTCGCGTCGTGAACGTCGAAGAAGACACATTTTCATAAGCATAAATAGGGGAACCAAAAATGTCATAAACACAAAAACTCGGAGGTCCGCGCGGATTTCTCGGATCGGCGCTGGACCCCCCTCCCTGGCGCGCGGAGCGCGCCAGGGGCGGCGCCGGAGGCGCCGCCGGGGGGCCCCAGCGCCGATCCGAGAAATCCGCGCGGACCTCCGAGTTTTCATGTTCATGTCATTTGTTGTTCCCCTAATGAACTTTTGGCGCCCCGCGCGGATTTTTCTTGGATCCGCGCTGGCCCCCCCCCCCCTTCCGGCGGCTCCTCCTGGCGCCGGGGAGGGCCGGTCCCGCGCAGATCCAAGAAATCCGCGCGGACTGTCGAAAGTTTTACAGGACAGTTTTAATACATGATTAGTTTATGAATAAATCTACACATGAAGTAAAGGATTTTTTAATACATGATCAGTTTGTGAATAAATATATGCATGAACCCATCGTTGTTGTTACTACTGAATCCCTGCATTTTGAATACATGATCCGCATGCGGAGCATGTATTAAAAACGGCACTGTATGTTCAAGCAGTTGTGTCTTCTCCCAGAACAGAAGCACGACGGGAGGTTCTTAAAGTGTTCGGTCCCCCGGGGGCCGTCCAAAAGACCGGCCCAGGACGGAGAACCCGCTCTGGGGAGAGGGCTCTGACTGCCAGAGTGTAGTCGACTATGCTGCCATGCCTTGGGCCAAACAGACTAGTCACAAGAGGCTGTATGCTGGCTGCGCCCAATTCATTCGTGCCAACTTGCCGTCTCTAGCTGTCAATAAAGGGAAAGCGCACCTTAACGTCGAAGGTGCGGTTGACGACGAGGATCACTTTTTGCGGCTCGGCAACGATTTAGTTGATGCCTCTGCCAAAGTCGCTGCTTCCTCCCACCCCAAAGCTGACGATGCCGTCATCGAGCAGCTTGACAAACAAATCGCTGTCGCCCGTGCCGTGGCAGTTCTGGCCGCAAAGCTCTTGCCTGAATGGCCGCCGCTGAAGCTTGGGCCCGACGTTGTCAGGGAGAGGGAAGCTGGCCAGTGCAAGAAGCAGCACCTCCCACACGCCTGGCAGCAGATCGGCGGTTTTTGGAAGTGTAGAACTTGTTTAGTTGTCTCCCATGGGACCTCCTGGACTGGCGGCCTAGGAGGCCGAATGCCCCCCCCGCCTCCTGGGAAGTGTTCGGGCAAATCTAAACTTAACCCAGCGCTCCTGGAGGCGCGTCACCACATATGTATTTCTCTTGCATGCTCTGACTCCTCGCGTCTTGTTGTGCGCTTGCGTTGCAAAGCTTACAGTTGCCACGACAGAGCGAAGAATCTCCTTGAAGACTGCAAGAAAGCTCCGCGAAATGCCGGGGCTAAATATGCATTGTCTCAGATTTCTAAAGGCGTGCATCCGAAGCATAGTGCAATCACTGTTGAGCGCGGTCCGTGGTTCGACTGGCCAGCTTCGGGTGATGCCGAGGAGCCCGTGGCTCCACCTCCTCGCGAAGCCGAGGAGAGCGTGCCTGCCCAGCTGCCGCCCGCCCAGCAACTGCTCCAGGTCGCCTCCGCCTTCCGTGAAGAGAAGGACTCCCTGCCTCTTCTCCCAGCGGCTGGAGAGCGGAGTCAGGACGACTCCGACTCATTTGTTTTTGTTTCCTGTTCCGTTTGTGGGACCTTTGGCCATTTTTCCCTCGACGTGGCCAGGGTTTTTTGCAGAAGCATGCAGAGGTGAAGCGGCCTGTAGCGGTCCAAAAAAAAATCCTCCTCCAGCTGCCCAGCTCCTCAGAGCGTGCCGGGACGCTCTGCGAAGGCCGCGGTGCCTGACGAGTCCTTGAGAGCCGTGGTGTCTCAGAGATTCTCAATTGATTCGGGAACCGTAAGACTCGAGTGCGCCGGGACTCAGGTTTGCCAACGTTTTGTGACGAGCGCGTCCTGGGCTCCGACGGTCCAGTTTTCGTAGGATGTTTGCAGCGGGAGCTCGCGTCAAATTTCAGACTGGGTCTCGTCGTTTTCGTGATGGCCCCGTCAGGCCAACCCGAGTCCCCCGAACCCGAGTCTCACGTCTTGCCGATCCAGAGGCGTGGGACCTCAGAAATCCTCGATTTGTCCTCGTCCGAATTGGTTCTCGTCCCGGCTCTGCGTTGGCGCCCGATGCGTCCTCCAGAGGCGCGAGATCTCAGATATTCTCGATGTTTCATCATCCGAATTTGTCTTCGGCCTGTCTTAGCCTCCGACACAACCACCTGGATGAGCATGGAGTCCGGCTTCATCTCATCGACGGGAGCCCAGCACTCGAACAAGACGACCAAGACACCTGCAAACACGACGCCAACCGACACCGGCGCCACAACCAACTCCAGCAGGGAAACACGTCAGTATTGTCTGGCCTTTGCTCTCCCCAGCACGTGTACGCATAGGGAGGCTACGACCTCCACGCTCCGGCCCGAGGAGGCAAGGCCCGTGTTCTGATAAGAGTGCGCATGCGGATGCGAATGGCTTCGTTTGCCACTGCCGCGAGGCTCTGGACCTCTCCGCCTCTGGCCGCCGAGCAGGCCACACGGCCACACGTGGCCCCCCTCCCGAGGCGGCCGCCGAGGAGGAGGAGGAGGAGGAGGAGGAGGAGGAGGAGGAGGAGGAGGAGGAAGAGGGGGAGGGGGTGGAGGAGGAGGAGGAGGAGGAGGAGGAGGAGGGAGGAGGAGGAGGAGGAGAGAGGAGGAGGAGGAGGGAGGAGGGAGGAGGAGGGAGGAGGAGGAGGAGGAGGAGAAGGAGGAGCAGGAGGCGAGGAGGAAGAGAGGAGGCAAGGAGGAGGAGGAGGAGGAGGAGGAGGGCCACACGTGGCCCCCCTCCCGAGGCGGCCGCCACCGTCCCCGAGCTTCAGCGCGTGTGCGAGGAGACGGGCCGGCCTGCCTCACAGGCGCGCGCCGCGGCGCGCGCGGGGGGGGGTCCGGGAGTCCTGGAGGGCTCGGCCTCCCTCCTCCCTCCCCTCCTCCTCCTCCTCCTCCTCATCTCCTCCTCCTCCTCCTCCTCCTCCCCTCTCCTCCTCCTCCTCCTCCTCCCCCTCCCCCTCCTCCCCCTCCTCCTCCTCCTCCTGCCTGCCCTCCTCCTCCTCCTCCTCCTCCTCCTCCTCCTTCTCCTCCTCCTACTCCTCCCTCAAGTAACATCTCGGCCCAGGCTTGTCTGTTTTGGCTCCAACCAGCCTTCCGCCGAGGTGCCGATTGCCGCGTACCGTCAGGGGTGTGTTTCGCTGAAGGCGCACTGATTCTGACCCGCACTTGAGGGGGAGCGAGAAGCCGCCGCATAAGTGCAATCGGTTTGTTTTACTTCTCAGTTCATCTTCAGCTATTGTTCGGGCATCTCCCAAAGCCGCAGGGGAGGGTATTATATTTTGAGTTGTGGAAGAGAGATTGGGGTGGTTTGTCTTTCATGCTCAACGGGACGGAGGCTCACATCACGTGGTGGGCAGGGGCGAGAGAGGCGCACGTCTTCATCAACGAGCGCCCCGCCTTGCACTTCACGGCTGTGGTCAACGTTGCGGCAACATCAGCTACAGTTCGAGTATCTCCCAAAACCGCTTAGGGAGTGTACGGTTTTGCTCTCGTGAGCCAGTCACTGGTGGGTGGGTCAATTGTTGCGTTTCTTCAATTGTTATCATTTCATATGGTGCGTTTTTCGTGCACTGAATTCTTCGCACCGTGGCATGAGGCCGCGGGGCGCAGTCTGGCGGCCGTACAAGTTGGTGCAATTGTGTTAACCAAGCTCACGGGCACGATTATGGTATTCGCCCTTCTGGTTCGCCTTTTGGGAGTATTGGGTTGCTGTCTGCGGGCTGTGCGTAATGGGCGTATCCCAGGTCTCAAACACGCTGTCGGGCAACCTCGTCGAGCCACTGCCTCAGTGGAGGCTTGGGTGTAGAGCATCACAATTCCGTTTCTTGTCATCCCTCCTCCCCAGCATGCGTTCGAAGGCAGGCCAGAAGCACCAGAAGTTGCTCCTGTGACGCCAAAGGAAGGGGCCGCGGCGGCCGAGTCGACCGCGGTGCCCTCTGCTCTCGAGTCCTCGACTCCTCCTCCTCCTCCTCCTCCTCCTCCTCCTCCTCCTCCTCCTCCTCTTCCTCCTCCTCCTCCTCCTCCTCCTCCTCCTCCTCCTCCTCCTCCTCCTCCTCCTCCCTCTCCTCCTCCCCCTCCCCAGTCCGGGAGTCTGGGAGTCGGGCATGTCCCTTTGCAGGAGGAGCATTCAAAAACAATCAAGAGATAGTCCAGGGACGATTCTGCAATCATTCTGACATATCTTCTGCCCACTTTTAACTTTCGCCGAGAATCCGCCTGTGGGGGGACATGCCCGACCTAATCCTGCCCCCGAGATCCTGGCGCTGCGTCCGTTCCACAAGAGGGCGTTCTCGCCAAGTGTCACGGCCCTGGGGCCCTCGCAGATCGAGCCGGCCCGAGAGGTGGCACCGAGAGAGGGGGTCCGGAGCGCCAGCGGTGATCTCTGCGACGTCGCAATGTTTGGGCAACGTCAGATTCAGCAATCTTGGGGGCCCCCACGCTGTGCGGTGACCATCGCGGTGACCCACGTGCGCGGTGACCGCGGCCTCGCGGGCCGTGCCCTGGGGCCGCAACCCCGCGTAGACGGAGCGTTTTGGTTCGCAGATGCCCCGCGCGGAACGTATCCGGGCGCGGGATCGCGCCCGGGAATCTAGACGGCGAGGGCGCGGATACGATTATGTTCGCCGCTCGTGAGACTACGCCGTGTGGCAAGTCAGGTGGGCACCGTGGGGTGGCCGCACGGGTTTGAGACTTGGGTCGTTCTCCGAGGACGTCTCGGGCGATTGGGGCCTCCGAGGTACCGAAACCGTGCGGCTGCGGACCTTGAGGTGAGGTCTCTTGGGGTTTCGAGGTCACCGCACGGCCTGTCACGGAACCGTTTTTGTGACCCCCAAGTCCTCGTTGAATGACCCTTCCGTTCGCCGTCCGAGAACCTCTCAATCCGGGCGGAAGAAGAGGAGGTGGAGGAGGAGGAGGAGGAGGAGGAGGAGGAGGAAAGGGAGGAGGACGAGGAGGAGGAGGAGGAGGAGGAGGAGGAGGAGGGGCAGAGGGAGGATGAGGATTGGCGTGGGCGCGTTCCCTGGGAAGGAAACCTTCTGCGCCGACCGGTCGAGCTCAGCAAAAGCTGCAGCGCTGTCTCGGAGCGGTCGGTCCCAACTGCCTTGAAGCCTTCGTGGGCTTCGGGCCGTATGCCTTCTTGAGATTGTCTTGGGGCGGTCTGAGGCACATCTTGAGGACGTGCGGCCTGAGGCACATCGCGAGGCCCCCCAGGGGTCTTTTGTGACCGTTTAGATCATGCCCACGGTGGCCTGTCGTCTTCAGGTCTTCTGAAAGCCATCCTGGGCGATCAGGGGCAGCACTTGAATCTGCAACGCATGGTTTGCAGGGGCCTTTTGGGGTACTGTTTCGGACACCTTCCCACTCGACAGGAGGAACCCGGGGTGTGGTCAGGCAGTCTCCGGCCCTCCTGGGACCGTCCAGGTGAGCCTGGCAGACGTGCTTTGGCCAGCGGCCAGAGGGTCGGCCGTCTTGGGGCCCAGCCTGGAGCGCACGAGCGCGTCTCGGGCAGTCTTTTCTGGACGCCCGAAAGGGGTACTGAAAGAATAGGTGCAATGCCGAACAGCGGATCTGGTTCATTTTGAACAGGACTCGCTGTCCACGCCGCCGCGGCCTGTGTCCATTCGAGACAGAAGGCCGCCTGCCCAACAGCGGCCGCTGCTGGTTTGGGACAGCATTTGCTGTTGGGCATTGTACCCACTCTTTCCGTACCCATTGCGGGCGTCCAAATCTTTGGAGCGAAGCATCGGACATGTTCTTGCGAGTGAACACTGGGTCCTGACGCGAAGGACCAAGGGACTCGTATAGATGCGGGGGAGGCCAGCTATTCCTCACTAAATGGTCACCTAGTACGCCAAGACCCACTGGTGGCTGAAGACCACCAGAGGGCTGCAGATCGAAGCCGCCTGCGGCGAGTCACCGCCGCCACCTGTCCTGCGGGGCATCCGTGCATGCTCGAGGTGCCAGTGCCAGGGATGTATCGAACACATTACCGCGAGAGCCTCTTGGGAGGGCCCCTGTCGGGGCCCTCTCTTCTGGCCGCGCCCTGGTCGGTCCCGGGTCCCCGGGCCTTGTGGGGAGCGTGTTGGGGGCCTGTTCGGGGTCGAGGGGCCGTGGCGAGCTTTACGGTTGTTTGAGGGGACGGGCCGTCTCATTCCCCCCCCTTCGCTGCAAGAGCAAGGATGGGATCGGGTGGACAAGAGATGGGGCGGGTGGGCAGACTGCCTCTCACTTCGGGGCGCGCTCACGGAGCTGGCTCAGAGGACGCGCCTCGCGGGGGATTACCCCTTCCCTCTCCTCGCGGTCGTACTCTGTCTGCAGAGTTGGAGATGCCCTGTTTTACATTTGGGAGGCCCTGTCGGGGTGGGCCGAGGCATCCTCGGGCGGGTCCGCCCGTCCTGACGGCTGCCAGGCGTCTCGTTGGGACCTCTTGGTGGCCACCTCGGGGCCTTCTCGGGGCATCCTGGGCCATGCCCAATCGGAGCCTTGGTTGACCACATCTTGGGCGATCTTCTCCTGGCCCCTGGGTATACAGTGAAGGGGCGCATCAAGAGACCAGAAGCGCTTCGTCAGTGTACCCTGGGTCTCTTCGCTCCGCGCGCTGCGCGGAGACTTCCCGCGGCCGTTGAAGAGCTGCTGCGTTCAGTGTGCTCCGGGCCCCCCCCCTTCGGTGCAGCCCGGGTTTCTTGCGAGGGTTTCTTGCGGCCGCGTCCGCACCGTACTGGGTAACACGTATTGGGGCCACTGTTGGGCTTCCGAGGGCCCCATTCAAGCTTCCCGGCGACATTCAGCGGGCAGGCTGAAGCTAGCGTAGACTGGCGTTGTTTCTACCGCATGCTGCTCCTGAGCCCTGGTCCCCTTGGATGCCCATGGAGTCCCCGGAACGACCTTCGGGAGCCTCGGAGGCTTCGGGAGGCCCTCGGAGCCTGAAGAAGCGCCAGGAGGCTCCGGGCGGCTGGAGGCCGAAGGGCGACGGAACCTCCTTCTTCCCGTCATTCCCTTCTTCCGTCCTTCCTTCCTTTCTTTCTGTGTTCCTCCCTTCTTCTGCTTCTCTTCCTACCATTCTTACTTTGGCTCTGGGGGAGGACGAGTTTCTCAATGATCGGCACACAGACTGCTGGAATGCCGCATCCGACCGACCCCTCCTCCCTCTCTCCTTGTGATGGCCGTGGGCTGCGCGCCCGAATTGCGGATCGCCCTGGTGGAGCAGCGGTGCTCGAGGGGGTTTGGGAGAGCCAAGCTCGATTCAGATTGAGAGTAGATAACCAGTGGCGAGAGCGAAGCTCAGAAGTCCAGGATAACGGCGCTTTCGGACTCGGATCTCCAAGAGCGGACTGGACTGGACCCTCTCCTCGTCGTCTTCCTGCCGCGGCTTGGAAGCGGGGAGGACGAGAAGTTCGTCCATTGCGCCAGCGCAGGACAGACCAATGCCAGGGACAGGCTGTCTGGGCTGCGTACTGCACGCCTGGGCCGTGGCGTGCCCGACCCTGCCGCGCGAGGTGCTGGGGAGATTCCTCGTGCAGCAGGAGCCGGCCGCCGCCGCCCGCGCCCCGCGCAGCCGAGGGCTCCGGTCGCTGCTTCCAGTTCAGGGCGCAGGGCGCAGCGCTCTGGCCGCCTGGCTTCCCCCCTTCCCCTCCTTGTCCCGCAAGCGACGGGGGAAGACGGGGCCGTCTTCTTCACCGGCACTGGCGCGCAAGGTGCCCGCGCGAGGTCGTGCGTAGTCGCCCTCGTCTCCGGCACAGCGTGCCGCGCTGGCGGCCAGCGCAGGCCACCGCTTGGAGTCGCTGTGGCATCTCGCGTAAGACCCGTGTTTTTTCGTCCCCCCTGCCCCCGACGGTACCCTGCCTGCCTGCACCCAACTCTCTGCTGCGAAGCTCGTGTTCAGGCAGGGCCTGGCCCCCTTTCGAGCCGTTTTCGCCTGCTCTCCCCCCAGCCGTCCTTCTGGCCACATGCCCACGTCTCGGGGAGGCTCCCGGAAGAAGAGGTGGAGGAGGAGGGGGAGGAGGAAAAGGAGGAAAAGGAGGAGGAGGAGAGAAGGAGGAGAAGGAGGAGGCGGAGGAGGAGGAAGAAGACCGAGGAGGGGGGGAAGATGGAGTGGGGAGCCGAGGAGTGCCCGTGTCTCGAGGTTTGTTTCTGTCTCTGTCCGCGCATCCTCGTGCTCCGTCTGTCGTCGTCGACGCTCATCCACCTCTCGTATGCTCTTCTTCTCTGGCTGGCCCCAAAGGAGGTCCAGCGACAAGGGGGCGATGCAATAAATCTGGTGCAAGAGATGCGTGCGTTGCAGTAGATCTGGGGCGTGCAATACATTCCGGGGCGCAAATATACTGCTGGATGTTCGCGCGCAATACAGTAGTTGCCATACAATGCAATACAATCCTCTGGCGCAATACCTTTGCAATACAATTGCCCCAAATCTATTGCACCACCCCCTTTCAGCTGGACCCCCTTGTGGGTCACCCAAAACTTTGCCCATCCGACTCCACAGCAAGATTCTCGCCCTCGCCAGGCTTTGCGGCCGTACATCTGGCTCCACCGTCGGAGTCTCATTTCCTTGGGACTTTGCAGCTTTCCTGGCTGGCGGGTTGAGCCAACGAAACGACCGTGACCAGGAGAGAGGAGAGTACTATCGAAGACGCCTACGGCGAATCACCGCCGCCCCCTGCCTTTGGAAGCGCCTGTGTGGCTGAACGTTGTGGCCAGAGCTCGGCCAATCTATCGGATCATGTATTCCCCCCAGCCGTTGTGGAAACGCTTCGGGGAATGTGTGGGGGAGAAAGAAGGGGATGAGATCTCGTCGGGCTTTCCTGAGGTTCCCTCGGAGGCCTCTTGGGGGCCTCTTGGACTGCCGCGGGCGATTTTGGGCCAATCTTCGGCCGTCCTGGATGCATCTTGGGCCGTCGTGGAGACATCTTGAGACCATCTTGGGCTCCTGGTTTGGAGACCATCTTTGCCGTCTTGGTTGCAATTGTGAGGCAGCCTAGAGCGGGAAGGTCGACGACCTGGGAAGTCTGCGGGTGCTTGTGGGGCGCTGGCGCGTCAGGCCGAGACCCCGCAGGGAGCCTTTTGGAAGAACCGCAACAGGGTACACCGCTGTGGCAAGCCGCCGGGGGGCAGCAGATCCAGTGGCCTTCGGCACACCCCGCCACCGTGCCGGGGGTCGTTGACGAGAGGCCTCGCGGATGTTGGGAGACTCTTGGAGGCCTCTTTTCAGGCCTCTTGTGGGCGTCTGGGACGTCTTGGGGGTCTGCTGGCTGTCCCACGCATGCGGAAAGTCAGACCCCGACAAGTATGTCGTTCATTGTTTTGGGCATTTAGGCCGGGCACCAGCAGGGCTTCCAAGATGGCCCAAGAGGCCCGTAGGACGGCCCCTTGGGGTCCTGTGAGGACACCTGGGAAGTCCTCTGGAAACGTCTCGCAGCGATCCCAAGGAGCGCCAAGGAGCGCCTGGTAGTTCAATGGGTTTTGGGGGTCGGGGTGGTTGAAGAGAATTCGCAATCTCCAGTTCCGAGAACTCGACGGCACGGCTGCGGACAAACATTTAATAATTCCCTCGCTTCGCGGGGTGCACGTCCAGAGCACGTAAAGATTGGGCGTTGGATGGTTTGCCTTGCTCGTCTGCCGCGAAGTTCTGCCGTGCCGTTCTGCCCGCCCCGGGACGAGCGTGCGAATGTCCACAAAGGCAATGGGCAGGTACCGCGAGTCAGCACAAGGCAACGCCAAGTTCAAATTCCGATTAATATAGCAACAACGCGCCATTCGTATACAATTCCGCGGGTGTCGTGGTGGTTTCGTGGGGCCGTTTGGGGGATTCTTGGTGGCCTCTTGGAGGCTGTTTGGGGGCTGCTTGGGGGGATTCTTGGGGCCGCTACGGGGCCTTTGGGGGCCCTGCTGGGCTGTCTGCGGCGCCTGGCTGGCCGTATTGGGACCGTCTTGGGTTGGGTGGGGCCCGTGTACGGCCGTGTTGGGGCCATCTTGGGCGGTCTTGAGCCCGATTCGGGGCTCTCCTGGGCTGTCTTGGGCGTCTTTTGGGCCGGCCCGGGGCGGGCTGGAGCCGTCGTGAAGCCTTCCTGACCTGGCCAGCCTCGGGTCGCTGGCCGGGGCACTTGAGTCAGCTTGCCGAGCGCGTGAGTCTCTTCCATCGCAGATCGGCCGATTTCGGCTTGCTGGGGCCCTGGGGGTCCTTCTAGGGAGCCCTCTCAGGGGCACCCACGGGGCCTCGGGGGCCCTGCTGGGCCGCCTGCGGCGGCTTGCAGGCTCGCGGGGGGCCCTGCGGGGCCCGGGCCGCGGCGGGGCCATCTCGGGCGGTCTGTCTCGGGCGTTCTCGGGCCGTCCGTCCCGGGGCCGGCCGGAGCCGTCGTGGGGCCCTCGTGGAGGCCTCTTGGCTCGTCTCGGGTCGACGGTCAGGGCCCCTGCGTTCCACGGGGAGCGGGCCAGTTTGGGCTCGTTGGGGCTTGCTTGGGGGGGTCCTCCTGCCTTGGAGCCCTTACGAAAACTCAGGGGGCCCTCCTGGGCCGTCCGTGGCGCCTTGCGGGCCCTTTTTAGGGCCATCTTGGCTGGGCGGGCCCCGTGTTGGGCCGTATCGGGGGCATCGTGGGCGGTCTTCAGCCCGTCTCGGGACTCTCCTGGGCCGCCCCGAGCCGTCGTGGGGCCCTGCCGAACATGTGGGTTCCCGATCGGGAACGGGCAGTCTTTGGCTTGCTGGGGCCCTCCTGCCTGGGGGGTTCTCAGGCAGCCACGGGGCCTCGGGGTGCCCGCACGGGCCGTCCGCGGCGCCCTGCGGGCCGCACGGGGGCCTTTTTTGGGGGGGCTGGGTGGGGCCCGTGCGGTGCCGCGGTGGGGCCCTCCTGGGCGGTCCGGGGCGCCCCTCGCAGTCCCCCCTGGCGTCTCCTGGGCCGCTCCGGGGTCGGACGCTGCAGCTCCTGGGGCCATGGGCCGGGTGAAGCTTGGATCGAGGAGGTTCAGCGTTGGCTTGGGCCTGGTGGAACTTGGGTTGCAGCTAGAGCCTGAACACCGCGAGCTTCGCGACAGAGGCAGGTGCATCGAGCCGCGGCCCTCCCGGGTCGCTGGGCAGGGCGTCCCAGCGAGTTTGCCAGAAGTGTCAGCTGTCCACCGGGAGAGGGCCAAGTCTGGCTCGTGGGGGGGGCCCTCGCGGGGGGTGGTCCTCTGGGAGTCATCGGGTGGCGTCCTGGAGGCTCCGAGGGCTGTCCTGAGGCCACGTCTGGACGGCCAGGCGCCGTCGGGGAGCGTCGAGGAGCACCTGGGAGGCATGCCGAAGCCATGCAGGCCAGCCAGCACCATCTCTGAGGCGGCCGTGGCCGCCGGCACATTTGGCATACCCCCCGGAGATTTGGGGAGGGGCAGCAGTCTCACACGCCGTAGACCCCAAGGGGTCGGCGGATTACTTGTATGGTCCAGTAGGCGGACAGGAGGCGGACGAAGTGTCAGCAAGCGGTTCTGATCATGGGTTTGCCTTCTCTGACCGAAGCTGAACTGCAGAGGCTGGACACCCAGACCCGAGAGCTCGCTGCAACCAGTCGCCGGGAGGGACACAGTCACCCCATTGCCAGCGGTACAGCGCTCACGGCAACCGGCAAAAGGATTGGGCACGCCCTGTCGGCGTAATCGTCCTTCGAATGTACAGTTTTTTCTCACATCTGCCCTTGAGACACTCTGAGAGTACCCCTCGGCAACAAATGGTCCAGTAGAGGGAGAAGTCCAGGAGTAGCGGCCCGTCAGGGGAGGAGGATGAGGGAAGAAGGGAGGATGGAGGGGGGAGTCGGGGCGCCTAGTGCGTTCTCGTTCTGCATGCGGGGCGCCGAGAGGCAGACGTGCTCTTGTCGAGGGAAGGCGCGCTCTCGGAATCCTGCCATGCTCGGTTGGCCATGGCCACTCTTCAGGGCATCTCGCACCTGCCCAAGGCGAGCTCCCTGGAGCGCATGAAGGACTGCTGTCCCGTGGGGTCCCCGCACGGTCGCCCAGAAAGGATGCTTCCACTGTTTGCTGTCCGCGATGTCATGCTGCACACATGCCTTACACATCGCGAGGAATCATGATCGCTTGCACTTGTAGGGCATGCGTGATTACTTGCCACTGCTCTCGTCGAATGCATCAAAGTGCGCTCAACGCGCACCGCACCGCACTGCATGCACAGCAGATCTGTTTCGCATCGCGTGCGACCATACCCGATCGAGCAGAAGGCCCGCGTGCGAAACGCACCGAATGCCACGCACAACAAGCACGGCACGCGCCGCACGGCACGCTCAGCAGCACGGCGCAGCATGCCGTGGCCCGTGCTCGGCATGGCACGCATGGGGCGGCACGGCACCCGCAGCTGGAGGGTTTCTCCGAAGGGCTTTGGCGACCCGTTCTCCTCCTCGTCCTCCTCCTCCCCCTCCTCCTCCTCCTCCTCCTCCTCCTCCTCCCTCCTCCTTCCCCCTCCTCCTCCTCCTGCCTCCTCCTCCCCCCTCGTCCTCCTTCCTCCTCCCCCCGTCCTCCCCCTCCTCCTCCTCCTCCCCCTCCTCCTCCTCCTCCTCCTCCTCCTCCTCCTCCTCCTCCTCCTCCTCCTCCCTCTCCTCCCTCCTCCTCCTCCCCCTCCTCCTCCTCCTCCTCCGCCTCCTCCTCCTCCTCGGGTCGCCCACGGCCTCTGGGGAGCAGTGCAGCCGCAGCATTTCCCGGGAGGCGCTGCGCTTTCTTCCCCGTGGGGCGCAGGAGGGGCTCCTGGTCTTCGGGCACTCCTTCAGAGGCCGCGGCTCGCCGTGGCCAGAAGCGCCCCCCCCCCGTTCCAAGAGCACCGTTGTGGCACCGCAGGCGCAGTACGGTCGGAGCGCTGACGAAGGAACCCTTTTCGTTTGGGAGGGGCTCAGTGTTCCTTAGCTGTTTTGCAATTGGCCTTAGGCTTCCCTTAGGTTTTCGATGGGACATCGGAGTGTAACTCAGAGGGAGAAGGGGCCTCGTTCCTTATTTAGGGTTCCTCAGGTCAACGCCCCGATTGTAGAGGGCGCCTGTGCACCGCAACGGCCGGTCAGCAGTGGAGAGCGAGCAGTTAACGAAAACGACAGGATGTTTGGTTGCCGCTGGTCAGTTGTGCGTGGCAGCGAGTGCTCGTTCGGTGGCTGCGAACTGGGAGAACCTGGTGGCGGGTGGAAGGTTCGAGCAGGGGACAGCGAGCAGCGAGTATTGTGCATATGGCAAGGGTGGTGACTAGCGAGCACGGGGTGCCGAGAATAACGTAGCGAATGTAGAACAGAGTACCGGACGTGACCTCACTCAATTTTCAGCCATATCAATGTTGACCCCTGTGATGCTCGTAACACTGAGCAAGTGTTCAGATGCACCCCATGCTGTTCGCCAGCTGTCTCATACCTGCAGGACGTGAGGACGGTCGTGGCAACCTCATCGGTTACGTTTTGCTCGCCCAGTGGTGGCGTTCATGCCCCGTGTGGTTTTCACGGTTCGTGCCTTGGACCGCCGTTTTTGGCTGGTGCGTTATCTTCGTTGCAGCTGGACCTGGCTCGTCGTCGGGGCTCGGGTATCAGAGATCGAGGGTTTCGCAGGTGTTGGCGTCGCCTGTCGTGCTGGCATTCCCTTACCTACCTATACCACCACCCTTCGGGTGATAAGGAGGTTCGGGGGTGGGGGGAGGAACCAACGTCTCACTCAATCGGTCTCACTATCGATCTCACTATCGGTCTCGCTCGATCGATCTCACTCGATCGTACTCGCAATCGATCTCACTCGATCTATTTCATTCGATCGATCTCACAATCGATCTGACTATCGATCTCACAATCGATCTCACTATCGATCTCACCATCGATCTCACAATCGATCTCACATTCGGTCTCACTATCGATCTCACTATCGATATCACAGTCGATCTCACAATCAACGTTATTATCAGAATCATCCACATCATCGTCATCAACGTCATCGACAGCATCATCATCATCATCATCATCATAATCATCATCATCATTATCATCGTCATCATCATCAACGGGACACCATCATCATCACCTCATCACCATCATCATCATCAACATCATCATCACCATCATCATCGGGACACCATCATCGTCACCATCATAATCATCATCATCATCATCATCATCAGCATCAGCATCATCATCATCATCATCATCATCATCATCATCATCGGGACACCATCATCATCATCATCATCATCATCATCATCATCATCAGCATCAGCATCATCATCATCTCATCATTTCATCATCAACATCATCAGGATCAGCAACATCATCATCATCATAATCATCATCATCATCATCATCATCCTCATCCTCATCATCATCATCATCATCATCATCATCATCATCGGGACACCATCATCATCATCAGCAGCAACATCAGCATCATCAACAGCATCATCATCGGGACACCATCATCATCACCACCATGGCCATCATCATCACCATCATCATCAACATCGTCAACATCATCATCATCATCATCATCATCATCATCATCATCATCATCATCATCGGGACACCATCATCATCACCACCATCATCATCATCATCAACATCATCGACATCATCATCAGCATCCATCATCCTCATCATCATCATAATCATCATCATCTCATCATCATCATCATCATCATCATCATCATCATCATCATCATCATCATCATCATCATCATCATCATCATCATCATCATCATCATCATCATCATCATCGGGACACCGACGGGACACCGGCGGGACACCGGCGGGACACCGCGCCCCACCAGCCCCCAGAAAGGAAACATTTGGTCCCGCCGCGCTTCAGCCGGAGGCGGGACACCAGCGGGACACCGGCGAGACACCGCGCCCCACCGGCCCCCGGAAAGGAAACATTTGGTCCGGCCGCGCCTCAGCCGGAGGAGACTTTCTTCTCGCCCCCCCCCACGCAGTTTCGCCTCGCCCGCACGGACGGCACGCACGAACACGAAACCGAAACCGGTTTCTCGGTACTCCAGATTTCGTAATAAAAGGGAGGGGGTCTCAACCCTCCCAGACGAGAAGTTTTCGACCCCCCCCCGTGGGAGAACCCTCCAAAAAACATCGTCCCCAGACCCCCCCAGGCCCTCCAAGATAGCCTGGAAGAGACCCCCCCCGAAATGAGACCCCCCTCCCTTTATTAAGAAATCTGGAGTAGGGGGGCTCTACGTTCCACTTCGATCTCACCCCCTCACCTCCGATCTGCTTCCCACACAGGCTGCATATTCCTGAATAACGTTTCGATGTTGAGTTCTAGCAGGGCTGAATTGGATCTAGAATGTCTCCCGGTGGGGCGACGGCAACATCTCCAATTTGTCGTTACCCATCGAAAAGGATACCTATTGGGCGCTTGTCTTGCAAGGAAACCTCGAGCGGGAGCCTTATGTTTTAGCGAGCTGTAGGGAAATACACAGTGGGACCCACGTTCATTCTGAGTCAATCCCAAGACCCTGGTCGGGACCCTCCCAGGACCCTCATCCATACAAGTATTCTGGTCCTTTGATATGGTATCCGTGCCCTTCATATCATCAACAATGCATTGTCACCATCTTCCGGAAGGAGGAGGAGGAGGAGAAGGAGGAGGAGGAGGAGGGGCAGAAGGAGGATCGGGGATCGAGGAGGAGGAGGAGGAGGATCGAGGATGATCGAGGATGAGGAGAAGGATCGACGAATAGGAGGAGGATCGAGAATCGGAGATTAATCAGTCGAGGAAAAAGGCAGAGGATCGAGCACCAAGCAGGATCGAGGAGGAAGAGGACGATCGAGGATCGAGGATCGAAAGGGATCGAGGTCGAGGAGGGAGATCGATGAGCGAGGGGGAGGTGGAGCATCGAGGGTCGAGGATGATCGAGGAGCAGGAGGAGGAGGAAGAGGATCGAGGAAGAGGTGGAGGAGGAGGATCCGGGATCGAGGATCGCACGATGAGGAGGGCTCATCATCGCTTCGTCATGGCATTATCCATCACATCGCTGTTCGGATACTATAATGAGACAAGTTCCCTTGCCATGATATCACACAGAAAAAGAGGAGTGAGCTCACGATGCTGAAATCGAGGAGGAGGAGGAGGAGGAGGACAGGAAGGGGAGGAGGACGGGAAGGAGGAACAGGACGAGCAGCAGCAGCGGTAAGAGGACGGGCGGCCGCAGAAGCGAGCGCAAGAGCAGGATCAGGACGGAGGCGGCCGGACAGGACAGCGAGCGGAGTTGGGCAGCAGTTCACCCGAGGAGAACTCCGACATCTTCAGCTTCCAGCTCATCACTCGGGGCTCTCCGCCAGACCGCCGCGCGCGCGACGGCCGCTCGTCCGTCCCCCCCCCCTTGAGGAGGAGGAGGGAGGAGGAGGAGGAGGGAGGAGGAGGAGAGGAGGAGGATGAGGAGGAGGAGGAGGAGGAGGAGGAGGAGGAGGAGGAGGGAGGAGGCCCAGCCCCCCGAGGCCCCGCGGCTCTCCTCCCCAGACGCTGCTCCTGAGGCGGGCGTCTCTCCCGAGCAGCTGGGCGCGCTCGGACGGCACCGCCCTTGGGTGACCCCGCCCTGCTCCCCCTCTTGGGCCGCCGCCTGCCTGCGGGGCGCCGCCCCCCACCGCGGCCGCTCCTGCTGCTCCCGCGCGCTCTGCTCCGCCGAGCCACGGGCGGCGCGGCCGCGGCACGCCCGGCGGCCCCTCCCGTCGCCCGTGCCGCAGCGCGGGCAGGATCGCTCGGCCCCAGCACCGCCCGGCGGAAGGGCGCGGCCCACGAGGTCCGCTCGTTGTCGCTCTGCTTCTTGTCTCCTGGTCGGGTACGGCCAGGGGCAGTTGCCAGTGCTGTGCCAATGTGCATCTACATATATGCATATGTATATATATATATATACACACATACACACATATATACATATATACATGTATGATCCATAGCTACATCGACACAGGAGTACATTCATACACCAATACATACATAACAACGGACTCCCACGGCCTGGGTGCGCCCAGCCCGCAACCATCTGGGACAGCGTTTTGCTACCCTCCCGGTTCGCTTCCCGCGGGCGGCCCAGAGAGGCCAGAGGGCCCCAGAAAACGCCCACCAGGGTCCAAGAGGCCTCCAAGACAGCCCAAGGGCGCTCCAACACGCCGAAGATGCCCCCAAGACGGCCCAAGAGGCCCCAAAGAAGCCCCAAGAGTGCTCGAAGACGACCCCCAAGAGGGCCTAACTGGGCAAATATAAGTGATTTCTCCTGTGTGTTTCAATGTTTTTGCGTTCTCGCGTTATGGGCTTCCAGCGCTCCAAGATGGTTCCAGAGGCCCCCAAGACCGCCCCAAGACCGCCCCAAGACGGCCCCAAGAGGGCCCCAAGACGGTCCAAGAGGGCCCCAAGAAGGGCCCGAGAAGGGGAACATGAATCGACAATTCGAGCCTTCCGCCCCAAGGGCCCCCTGGAGGCCCCCAAGAGAGCCCAAGAGGCCCCGTAGAGGCCTCCAAGAGGCCCAAAAAGAGGCACCCAAACGGCCAAGAGGCCCCCGAGAGGCCTCCCTCGATATCCAAACAAACTTCCAAAAGGCCTCTAACCTACAACCCAGGCACGGTGGCGGGATGGGCCGAAGGCCACTAGACGGTAAAAGACGCTCAAGACGGCCTCCACATGGCCCAAGAGGCCCCCAAGGTATCCAAGAGGCCTTCAAGAAGTCACCCAAGAGAGCTCGAAGAGGCAAATTACCCTGTGACGTACCCAACCCATTTGTATCAATGGAAACGAGGAGTTGGCCGAACCTTGCATGGACAATCAACTTGATGTGTAAGCTACTCGGGACACGCGCCTATGGCATGATGCGCAGGAGAACCATACAAGAACGAGGGGCGACAGCTACAGGCTCGAAGAGGACATGGGGAGTCGGGAACGCAGAGCACGAGAAAAACGTGCGGGAAGCCGAACCATCAGCACGGCAGCAGCAGAGGGAAGGTGACTGCAGGAGGAGAACAAGGACGAAAGCGGCGTCTAATTTGAGCCTGCGGTGGGTACCCACTGTGCTGTGCCCCTCAGCAACCCTCGAAAGTGGCGACAGTTTCACAAATCGCAGCCCCCCAGGGATGGCGAGGTCTCATTTGAGTCTGCGGTGGGTACCCACTGCGTTGTGCCCCTCAGCAGCCCTTGAAACTGGCGACAGTTCCACATATCGCAGCCCCCCATTGGTGGCGAGGTCTAATTTGAGTCTGCGGTGGGTACCCACTGTGCTGGGCCCCCCAGCAGGCCTCGAAAGTGGCGACAGTTTCACAGATCGCAGCCCCCCAGGGATGGCGAGGTCTAATTTGAGCCGGCGGTGGGTACCCACTGCGTTGGGCCCCTCAGCAAGCCCCGAAAGTGGCGACAGGTTCACAGATCGCAGCCCCCCAGGGACGGCGAGGTCTCATTTGAGTCCGCCGTGTGTACCCACTGTGCTGGGCCCCCCAGCAGGCCTCGAAAGTGGCGACAGTTTCACAGATCGCAGACCCCCAGGGATGGCGAGGTCTCATTTGAGTCCGCCGTGTGTACCCACTGTGCTGGGCCCCCCAGCAGGCCTCGAAAGTGGCGACAGTTTCACAGATCGCGGCCCCCCAGGGATGGCGAGGTCACATTTGAGTCCGCCGTGTGTACCCACTGTGCTGGGCCCCCCAGCAGGCCCCGAAAGTGGCGACAGTTTCACAGATCGCGGCCCCCCAGGGATGGCGAGGTCACATTTGAGTCCGCCGTGTGTACCCACTGCGTTGGGCCCCTCAGCAAGCCCCGAAAGTGGCGACAGTTTCGCAGATCGCAGCCCCCCAAGGATGGCGAGGTCCCATTTGAGTCCGCCGTGGGTACCCACTGCGCTGGGCCCCCCAGCAGGCCTCGAAAATGGCGACAGTTTACAGATCGCAGCCCCCCAGGGATGGCAAGGTCCCATTTGAGTCAGCCGTGTGTACCCACTGTGTTGTGCCCCTCAGCAGCCCTGGAAACTGGCGACAGTTCCACAGATCGCAGCCCTCCAGGGATGGCGAGGTCCCATTCGAGTCCGCCGTGTGTACCCACTGTGCTGGGCCCCCCAGCAGGCCTCGAAAGTGGCGACAGTTTCACAGATCGCAGCCCCCCAGGGATGGCGAGGTCCCCAGCAGGCTTCGAAAGTGGCGACAGTTTCACAGATCGCAGCCCCCCAGGGATGGCGAGGTCTCATTGGCGTCCGCCGTGTGTACCCACTGTGCTGGGCCCCCCAGCAGGCCTCGAAAATGGCGACAGCTTCACAGACCGCAGCCCCCCAGCTGGCACGCAGCGACGAGCGAAGGCAGGGGGGAAGAGAGGGACGGGGGGGGGCGGGAAGGAAGGCGCGAGCAGTGCTTTACTCAAAACGAGAACCCAACGCAGGAGGGTTGGGAAAAAACACGGGTGTCCCATATGCTTGTGAACAGTTTGGGCGTGTCCGTTTGTTTTGTTTCCCGACGCTGCAAAACGCCCCAAGAGGTCGCGAGGATCGCCCCAAGACGGCCCAATGGGCTTCCAAAGCACCCCAAGACGGCTCCAAAACAGCCGAAAAGACTCCAAGACGGCCCGAGAGGGCCTTAACCGCGGCCAAGGATCGGCAACGAGAACCCGAGATCTTCGCCACAGCCTCTGCGGCCTCCTGCACCTTTTTCCAACTCCTCCTCATCCTCCTTCTCCCCCAGGAAACCCCTTCACCTCCCCTGTTCCTCCCTCTTCCTCCGGCTACGTCCAACTGCGGCGAATAAATGTGCCCCCGAAGTGCCTCCTGGGCCTATTTTAGGCTGCCGTGAGTGGACTGTAGGATGTCTTGGAAGCCACTTGGGCCGTCTTCGTGGTTCTTGGAAGCCCCAGAGAATAAGTACTATACAATAGAGATCCCCAAGAGTTCGACCATCATGCCTAGGTCAAGTTTGAGCGCGCCCGAAGCGCGAGCAATGGTTTAAACATATGCAGATGTATCTAAATATACATGTATGTACATGTACATACATGTATATATACACGTATGCGTTCCTAGCTCGAGGTATGGATGTATGTATGTTGTTTATTTGTGTATGCGTAGATGTCAGCATGTGTTCAGGTGTTCATGCATTCATATAGTTGCACACGCATGCCGAGTTGTTATTTTGGATAAGTATTAACATACGGCGTGGCGTTTACCTCTGTAGGTACATAATGATTCCGTTGTGTGCTCAGCCGTGCAACTATGTGTTATGGATTTAGTTGTTTGTGGATATCGTGCGTCGCTTCGTTCATTCCGCCGTCCCAGCATGTGGCATTACTGGTTTTTGCCTACGCGTTCGTTGCCCATGTTGCGCTGCTGGGCGGTGGTCGATCCCGTGTCGTTTCTGGGGGCTTGTTTCGGGGCCGTCATCGGCCGTCGTGGTATATGTTGGTGTGCTCGTTTCGAGAAGGAGAAGGACGAGGAGCAGGAGGAGGAGGAGGAGGAGGAGGAAGAGGGGAGGGCGAGGACAAGGATGAGGCCTCTCTTTGGCTTTTTGGGGCATTTGGGGGCCAAACTTGGTCGTGGACAAAACGCCTCGTTGGAAGATGGATGCTTCTTGGGGTTCTGAGGAGGCCTCTCGGGGACCCCTCTTGGCGGTATTTTTGAGCCTCCTGGGGCGTCACGGGGGTCTCTGGGAATCTCTTGGGGCCTCCTGGAGACCTCTAGGAGGTCTCTTGAAGCCTCTTGGGGGCCTCCTTGAGGGCTTCTTGGGGACCTTTGGGGGCCTTTTTGGCTCTTCGGGGCCTCTTGGGGGCCGCTTGGGGCCTCGGGGGGGGGGGCGAGGGATCGAAATATCCGTTCGTGTTCCCCGTATGGGCCGCCTGTTGAACACCGTCTCGGGGCCTAGTGAGCCGTCTTGGAGCCCTCTTGGGCAGTTATTGGGCCCTATTTAAAGCCTTTTGGGCAGTCTTGGGGCCATCTTGGGCCGTCTTGGATCGCCGGGTAGCTGAAAAGGCGAGAACGCCCAAATCCTTCAAACACCAAAGGGGAATCGAGAAATTGTGTCTGCAGGGACCCTCCTGGGACGCCTCTTGGGACGCTTCTTGGAGGCGTCTTCGGCCGTCTGGAGGCCATCTTTGGCGTCTTGGACGGATCGGTCGGCAACTCGGAGCCCTCTTTGGCGGGGGCCTCTTGAGGTCCTCTTGGAGCGCTCTGGGGCGCCTGAAAGGCCGCGCCCACGAGGAAAGCCATCTCTGCCCCGACTTGGCGGGGCCTCTCCCGGAGCACTTCTCGTCCAGGGGCCCCCAGGGGCCGCTTCGCGCGCGCGAACCAGAAGTACTGTCGACCGGTTACCGGAGATCTTGGC